TGAAAGGCTGTGTATCTTTGTGATGGGCAAGGGTGATGGTCACGTGGACATAAAAAAGCGCCGTGCAGATATTGTGATGGGAATGTATATGACGATGTAATAGCAGTGATGTGTTTTGGACTGTCAAGAGAGTTTTGGTAAAAGGGTGTGTGTGTGTGTCTTTACAACCAATTGGGGCTAAACAACTAAAATCATGAGCCGCCTGCCTTCCTAAACACACATAGATACCCATACCCTGGGTCTACCAAGGGGAATGGGAGCTAGATGCAGAGATGTTGCATAGCATTTAAGAGGCATTTGTTTTCCAACAGACTCTATACTCTTGTATTATTTTTTCATATCAAAAGCAATGTGTAGAACCTTTTACAAAGTCTATTTGACAGGTTTTGTCTGAAGAGTTATTCAGTCTTCAGTGAAATTCTGGGAAAGGTGTGTCTAACCTACAGTGGGAATCAGAAGTGGACCCTTAGGACAGGGAGCAGGGTTCCTAGAAGAGGTCAATAGGCAGGTCTCTTTTTTGAGGTCTCTATTTGAGACTTCAACACTGAAAGGCAGTCCTTAGCTTCTGACCAGACTCCAGAAGCATGAAACACCTACTGATCCAGGACTTGGATCACCTGACAGCAATCTGATGGTCAACAGGGGATGCCTAGCCAGATGAGAGTCTATCATGAAAGTCTCTCGTCTAATACCTATAAAGAAAGGTGGACTCTAGTTAATTTAAAATTCCTGGATGCAAAAGTTAACCATGTTGGGCATCAAGGAGACAGATCCTAGAGACTGAAAGTCTCAGTATAACCCGGGAATATTTGCAACAATCAGCAGTAATGCAAGACTAGTCATTGGTAGAAGAAAGATTGTAATTTTTTACCCTGATACACCTTAGCCATCATGGTCATCTTGCAAAATTATCCAGCTAGAGGGCAAACTTACATCTACTATCACAGGGATCAAAACTATCTTTGGTTTTGTCAACTGGTCCAAAATCTCACTCAGCTACAAAGCTCACTTGAGTGAGGTCTCAGCCTTCCAACCTCTACTGATCTCACTTTGCTACTGCAGTCTGAATTGGAATGATTTTCTCGGACAGCTGATAAGAAGTTTCTTCATTGATAACCTAGTACCCCCATCCAATCTTCTAGAACAATGGGGTCAAAATGTCCTCAGTAGATCAAGAACTTTTCTGTCTGAACCCTGAAGGCCGTTAGTGGAGTCCCACAAGGCTCCCTTCCTCTAGTTCCACTGTTGTTCAGCACCTCTGCGAAAGCAGCTGAGCCAACCTGGCCTGAAGTGCCAGCCATTTGCAGACAATAGGACCCCCTACTCCACATCAACTATGAGCAGTACAGTGTCCAAGCTTTTTCAATGCTTCACTAAAAGCATCTAGACAAAACAGCTGAGGCAGCTGGATCCAAATAAAAGAGCTGGCAGAAGACGGAAACACTTTAAAAAGCCTGTCTCCACTATAGCCTCCCCACTATCTGGGGCATCTGTCCTGGGTTCCTGAGGTTAAGGCAGGCGTGTCAACTCAATTTGGCTTTGTAGGCCAGATCAGACTACAATGCTTCTCACAGGCTGAATGACCAACACCCACTGACCAATTTTAGTCACCGATGGGCACTAAAGACTTAAATTCTGCAGCAGGAAAGGAGTTGGGTGCAATGAGCAGTGGGGGTTCACCCCTGCATCCAAAGCTGTACCAACACAGCAGCTCCAGCAGCTTTTCCAACAAGCCCTGCAGGCCACCAGTAGGATAGCCCTGGGTCAGACCATAAGTTTGGGGTTATTACTTATTCCTACTATTAAATCCCTCTGAGTACAGAGAGGACCAATCAATTCCACCATCAGACAGCAACGGAAACCCCCAGTCTCAGACAAAGCAACCTGTACATAAAGTACTCAGCATTGCCCTTTCTTATCTGTTGCTTTCTAGGCTGCTTATCCAGTTGGCTTGTTCGAGGTTACTTTTTCAGATTTCCAGGCCTGGTTTTTTGTGTATTCTGCATCAACGAGTTCAGGGTTTTCTCGAGACACAAGAATAAGGGGATCTCTCTCAGGACTTGTTCTGCAAGAGAAAAACCATTGGAATCAGTCAGTGCTGCTCTTCATCTTCATACAGTTATGGAGGCAGTGGAATAATTCTGAGTGATATACCTTTACCCCTTTTAAGTCCTATACTATTTAAACGTTATTCAGAACAAATCAGCAAGAGCTGTCTTTTCAAAGCCTGATTCGAAGTCTCAGTTTACCCATAAAACAATGAGAGTTGAGAGAAGTTTAACATCTTTTCACATTATTTTTTGTTAAACACTATTTTAATATACTACAAAGCTATGACCTGTCCAAAATCTTTCATTCTTCATCTCCTGAATATACTAGTGATAGTCATACATTATCAGGACTGTATTTCTCACTGCATAATCTATTAACATGAGTAATAGAAGAAAGAGGGGACATTAGTACTGCTGTCATTTGAACGTTGTGAGGGATAGAAAAAGCCATCTACCTTTTTCCTCACTCCCCACCATTCAAGTATCACTGCTGTAAGAATACCCATTGAGTCACTGAGGAGCACTTTGATAGAGAACAGATCATACAAATGGCAAAAAAGAGCTACAGGGATAAAAGAAACCTTCTGATGCATACCCTACAGTTCCCATTGCAAAGGAAGGTAAATGCTGCTGAAAGAAACCTCTTTTTAATTAACTAAATGGTCTGCATAAGAACTAAAATAGCTGAATGCTTGTGCATAACCACAAGGGGTGATGGATTTCTTATATTTATTTTACTATACTATATGACTTACACATAGCATTCGTTACCTAGATTTGTGATGGAATACAAAATGGGTGACAGTTTTTTATTTATAAAAACCGGTATTTTGAGTTAATGTTTTTGTTTAGTATTTGGAGTGGCCAATTCATGAGCACCAGCAACAAATGCTGTAAATGCTTCCCCAGGAAGCAACCCCTCAAGCCAAAGAGGTTTCCCTTTCTTAGCAATTCAGTAAGAGTCTCAGAAACTACTAATTGTGCCAAACTGTGTCAGGTTTTTTCCCCAGGATGTGGACCGAGATAGCTGTGGCCTAAGAAAAATTGAGCAATATTTGCCATGCAGCACTATTTCACTTCACTACAGCATTTGCCATGTCTTACACAAGTAACATGAAATGCCAGGACACTGTATATGCTGTTTGAACATTTATAACCTCTGCATCTATTTGAAACAAGTAATACTTAAAAGATCTCCAGAAATAAAAGGTTAATACCTCAGCCTGACTTTGGTTTTGATTTAGCTGGTATTGTTTGCAACCCACATGGCCAGCATATCTTTGAATTGGAAAATGGACTCACCTGGATCCTCGGAAATATCCTTTGGATAGCTTTTCCTTCCAGGGCCATTTTTCTGCAGATCTGGAAATATTTTTTATACATAATCATGAAAGTGCTGTTATAGTCTTCTATAGGCTAGTCTTCTCTATTACTATTCAGGTTTGCTGGGCCACTTGCTTCTTCATGGTACGAAAGTATCTCATTTAAGGCCAACAAAATGGGCTTTCCCACAGATCATTGTTCACTAGCCAAAATATTACAGGCTACTTTGCAAGGATACTGTCAAGATAACAAGGTATACATGCATGTAAAATAAACTTTTGCCTGTTATTATTAAACAGTAAATGAAAATGGACAGTAATTTAAAAATCTATTCCACTTTTCACTAATTTTCCTGCTGCTTTATTTTTCCCCCCTTTCACTAAGCAATTAATGGAACTAGTCTAGGCAGTTTCTAGACCTTTGTGTTTCCTACTGCCTACTTTTCAGCAAAACATTGTTTGTAAAGGTGATAACACTACAGCTAATGTTTATATAGGCAACTTTCATTTTACTTTAAAAAGAGTCAACCATTATGAAAATGATTTTTATAATCCCATATGGCACAGGTGTGTACCCATGTGTCTACATGTACATGAACATACCCATCAAAATATGTGACTGATGCAACTCTTACCCCACAACCTTAAATTTTGTAATCCTTGCCATCTCTCTTTTGCAATCCCTTGCCTATTTTCTCACAAGAGCTGTCTTGTCTAAAATGCAGGTGTTAATCCTACAATCTAATCTGTGCAGGTGGATCCCTGCATCCACATGTAACCCCAGTGATGCAAACAGGGTCCCTGGACAGGTGAACATCTGCTCAATTGGATCCAATTGTCAATTTTTGGAGACAGAAAAATTGTTTTAAAACTATTTTCACCAGCACACACAAAGCACAACTTTAGGCATTCCAGAAATAGTATTTTTGTATCCCCTCATAATTAAGAAAATACAAAACCCTACATTTTGAGCTTCAACTAATGTCTGAAACTTTGAGAGTCCAAACACTAACGGGTCTGTGCTATGAAATGTCACTCCTATAGTATTTATAGACTTGCTCACCGGCCTGTACTTGTAAGAAAGACCAGCCCTTGTTAGGTTGACAAAGGAAAGACTCCCTGGTTTTCCGGTCCTGCTACTTAGCCTTAGTTCCATAATGACTCTCAAGCCAGAGGGCAGCTCCTGTTTCTTCTTTGGTGTAGCAGGAGGCAGGTATAAGGGTTCTTCTTTCTCTTCCCCAGCTGCTTTTACTGGCACACAGAGTCACCACTACAAGTAAGAGCCTGGGTTACTGCAGAAGCGGCTGGAAACAGAGTCTGCACCACATGCCATGCTAGATTTCTGCAGATCACAGTTCAAGAACCGCTGCTTTAATGACCTAACCTGCCTAAATGAAGTTGATGGGAACTCTTACATTAACTAACTGTGAAGGCCTGGGCTCTCACCCCATAGTAAATATATTTGGTCTTTAACATTCCTTGCTGAGAGGCTGGAGACACGTGGAGGACTCTCATCCAATACTGCAACCTTGTTTAGCTCATGGAATGAGAGCCAGCAAATCAGAGCATAAGATGATGTGGATGCAGGAAAGCAGACCCTACCAAGGCTTTGATGGTAATATGCTAGGTTGCACTAATACTAGAGGCGCCACTTTACAGTTATGTTCAAGGGCTTATTTTCCTATTAAAAAAAAAGACTCCTGAAACCTACCTTTGGAGATCTTCTCTCATTTGGTCCCAGCGCCCAAGGCCTGTTGGGTAAATTGGCCACACAGCTGGGCCCCCTTCCCAAAACGTCCAGGCCGGGTACATGATATCACGGTACTCAGAGGTCTTCAAAGCAAGGAAATTAATGTTAGCTGAGTTATACAGGGATCTCTCAATTGTACTAAATCTGTTGCATGTAACAGACAGGTGGTTTTCTGGAACCTTGTAAGCTTTCTCCAAATGTTCCTGCTAGGTACAAAGATGCTAGTAGGGGCACAAATTCCCATTCACTGGAAATGTCAGTCTCCCTATTAAAAAGTTAATGATTAGATGGTATTTGTATTAGGGATGCACCAATAGGGATTTGGGGGGCCAATACCAATAGCAATTTTTAAGGAGGCATATTGGCCAATACCGATCCTATTTCCGATACAGCTGTGTGCAGCTGGTAAGTCTACTGTGGTAGAAGGGACATGGGAGGTGCAGATCAGCACCCCCTGCAGTGAGGGGAGGGAGCGGGGCAGGGGCTAGGGTAGATGCTGCCCAGCCGGGGCAGGACAAGGCATGGGACAGAGCTGTGGGGGGAGTTGGGGAGTGTATACCCCCAGATCTGCGTGGGGCTGGGGGGCAGGCTGTAGCTGCAGGCTGCACTGGGCTCTTATTGGCAGGGGCTGGGAGTGGGGCTACAGAGGAGGTTGCAGCCACCCCCACAGGCCCCTCTCCCAGTGACACTGCCACCTGCCCAGTGCAGCTCCGGCTCTTCACAACATGTGGGTGGAGGCAGGGTGTTGAGTCGGGGCTGTGCTCCGGGCAGGTGGCAGCAACATTGGGAGGGAGATTATGGGGTGGCTACAGTGAAATTTGGGGTGGCTGCAGCCTCCCCCTGTAATTCCAATTCCAGGCCGCCATTGCCCACCCCGAGCCCAGCCCCCACAGAAAAGAGCCCAGCACAGCTCCAGCTCCAGCCCACCCACTCTGCTCCATGCAGACCAGAAGCACATCCTCCCCTGTGCCACCCGGGTGAGCCATGGCTCCATACCACGCCCTGCCCCAGCTGGGCAGTGTCTTCCCCAGCCCCTGGCCCACTCCCTCTCTCACCATAGGGGCACTGATCTGCCCACTCCCCCCCATGTCCCTTCTCTTCCCCCTCCCCTTCCACAACAGACTTACCAGCCACACACTGCTCTCCAAGCTGCCAGGCTGTGTTCCTCGCTGCCTGTGTGCTGTGCTGAAGCTGCACACATGCATGAGCATTTATCAGCCAAATTACTGACCGCATCAGGCCGATTTCCAATACAACCAATTTTCATTATATTGGTGCACTTCTAATTTGTGTAAAATCAAACAGATATAAACCAGTACTTTGCAGGCATATCCCAAGCCAGCATACAAGCATACATTTCTTGGTCCTTAAAACGTTGACCAGCCCATTTCTTCCCTTGAGACCTGTCTAGCTTTTTCTTGATTTCCAACATTCTGCAATGCTTCTTCGGGGGGCTATATTTCACTGAAATGCCGTACCAGGTTTGGCACATGAATGGAAGTTCTGTTATCAAGGGAAGAGAACCAAGCTCCGGTTTGGTTTCTCAGCATATTGCCCTCAAGTTATTGCCCATGACAATTGCAACATAGGGGTGCAGTTCTAGTAGAGAAGATGGGCATTTATACACATACATTTGCCTGCTCTGACGTGCCAAAGATCCAGCATGTCAGAGCAGGCTCGATTCATTGATTTTGCTCCACGTGCCAGCTCATGTGGCTGGTGTTGTTTCGCATACAGTTATATAAATGGTGAAATGTGCATCAGCGCTGAGAAAATGGCAGCGGCATGCTTTTGAACTAACACATCTTTGGTGTGTTTTAGTTCAAAAGTGTTCCACCAACATTTTCTCAGAGTTCACATGCATTTCGCCATTTATACAAATGTATGCACCGCAGCGCCAGGCACTTTAAGAGTGTTCAGCACTGCAGCGCAAACATGTGTACAAATGCCCCATCTGCCCAAAGAATGAGCTTGTTTTTTTGGGTGTACATGCAAAAGGGTGAGAGATAATGCACAACCTGCTATGCCATGTTAGACTCTTGAATCCATTTTAAAATATTCCTGAAGTCAAAATGTAACTTCAGCAGAGAAGTTAAGCTTGTAATGAACCTCAGTTCATATAATTCCAGTGTGACATACATCACTCCACTCAGGTGCATGTGACACATGAGTCTGGAACAGGAGCTGATATTCCTTTGAACAAGTCTCCAGTTCCTTCTGCTGGGGAGTTAGATAAAAAGAACCTCTAAATATGAGAAACAGAAAACCTCAGGTTTTTTACTTTAAAAAAGAGGGTAATTTCAACATAGCCTTTAAATGCTGGATAAAGATAGCTGATCCTTGGAGAACCAACTTCAAGAAGCCTTGTATTTCAATTGGGAAGGAATTTCTTATAGCTGCTTACTTTGGATACAATGAGCCAAGAAGATGAAATGCATTAATTTTTTCTAGATTAATCTTTCCTAGCATCACAAAGGCCTGTGCAGGCTCTCACCTTACTGAAGGAGAAGACTGGGATGATGGGTTTCATCCACGTGGGGACCTGGGGGTAATCACGCACATTGATCACCATCTCCATGTTGGGGAGGTGATCAATGATTTCCAGAATGAAGTGCTCAACCCCACTACACCTACAAAGAACAGACATACAGTGAAAAGCCAGGAATAAAAAAAGGTGATGATGAGTTATATGTCTGCCTTCCTCAACACTTATTCTTCCTGAAGGAAGAGTGGCAAAGAAGGTAGGTAGGAAAGCGAAGGACACAACTTTATCAATGTAAGTGATGACAAGGTTTGAGGCTAATTAGAAATAAAGGCAGGGAAATGACAATTAATGCTTCATCTTCTCAATACACTGCTGAGATTTCTCAGTTTACTGTCTTTAGATACAGAAAAAACTTTCCCCTGCAAAAGAATACAGGGAGGCAATAGGACAGCTGTTACAGAGTACTAATGCTATCCAACAACTTAAGACAGGAATTTAGGAATGCTACATCCAACTGAAACTGTGGTAGGAAATTAGAGGGGCAGAATGTATTGTAGTCATCTGGTGTCAACTTCCCTACTTTTGGTGGAGTGGATAAAAATTTCATTTCTTCATGAGAACATACGAATTCCTAACACATGACTTGTAACATTCCTTTTTCAGGATATGTAATAATATAGTCCTTTAATTTTTTTAATATTGAAGCCTGTCATAGAAGAATACTTCAACCAGTGAGTGATTGAGTAAGCCACCAACACATTGAGCCAGACAGAATAAGCACGTGATAAACCCAGTAAAGCTGTTTCACTAAGTGCAAAGAACCAGCCAACAGGCTTTGCACCACAGGGTCAGACACGTCTGTTTAGCTCTTCCCAAGTGCAGGAGTAGGGAA